ACGCATCCTGGGCTACTCAGAAAACATCACTGCAACGGGCCAATTCAAGTGGACGTTCCTACCACCATTATGGTACACGCTCTTCATCATTGTCAACCATTGCATGACTTCCAAGCACATGGGAATGGACAGATGGAGTATCTGTCTTGTGAATGTTCCACGGGATTACTTTCAACATGCACTACGACTACATCATTTTAATCTGGAACAAAATTGATGAGGTGATGCACGACAAGTCCAACAACAAAGCCAGAAAGTTTATGCCATTCCAGAGGTTTCTATAGATGCTCATCAAGAGCCTAATGTGGTCGGACAATGAGATTCCAAGACGCACAAATGAAGAAGGTAGACCAAAGTTTCTCATGCACTTCATGAAGCTACCTGAACACGCATTCGACAAGGTACTTCCTATTTATGTTGATCTCCTGGCTTATGCAGACTAGAGTGCATCATGTGTGCTAGCTTATCGAGAGGACCACGGTTTAATGGTCCAACCAGAACCGACTGGATCTCTCTAAGGACCAATCCCCGAGGTAGGTAGGGATGTAGGTCTAGGTAGTGACCAAGAAGAAGAAAATGAGGAGGGGGGACATAGACGGGGATGCCTCTGGTTCTGCATTAGACTCTTTTGACAGTGAAGATGATTCATCGGATGAAGGAGAGCCAACTGCGATTAAATCCTCATCATCAAAGGATTCTGACTCCTTGGACGAGGACGAAACGCCTAATAGCGCCGAATACCTACCAACTCACATCGGTGCCATGCTTGAGATTACAGAGTCTAGAAAGGAGGAAAAATCAATCCATGATATTGATGTCATGGGTCTTCATCTAATTGTTTCAACATCAGTCGTTGATATAAGGATGGAAGAGGATAAAGTTGAAAATGGCGAGAGACTGAATGATCGAATGGAGCATGAGATACGGACAAAAATTCGTTAGGACAGTTCCCAAACCACTATAAGTCGGGGAACCACATCTACTATCAAGTCGCATCCATTGGGATCCGGTATTGAACAAGTCATAATGGACCCAGCTACACAAATACACACCCCTTCCATCCACTGTAGCACCTCTCAACAGGTGCTAGTTTTATCAGATCATGGGGATGTACCACATCTGCTATACAACTCTCACTCGGAGAGTGTAGATATTAAAATAAGTAGACTACCGCCCCAGTCTACGACATAGTTTGTGTGCACATCGAGTCTAGCGCTTGATACAACTATTAGGACACATACGACTAGAGCATCTGTTGCTCAACCAGCGGTTCTTCGTGAACACGTTGCACCATCCAAAGTGGTATCTTCTACAGATACTTCACGAGGATAAGATGGAAATCCTACCAGTGCCACATCATTGCCAACACTGAATGTAGGTCACACAGTTGACTCAACTATCGTGTCAACAGGAAGGCTTAGTGTCACTGGTGTTACCTTACCCGAAACAACAACGCAAATGTTGGCTGGTGCTCTAGCTGCGTTCAAGCCTCCATGCACAGCCAGGTAGATGAACAAAAGCGACTATTGAAGGGAAAATCGGTCATGAAGCACGTGAGTCCAACTCCACCGCCACGGCTAGGGGTGTTCATGGTCCGGTTTGAGAGGTTTAACCCCTCAGACCACAAACCAAACTGTAATGGCGGTTTATACAATTTTCAAACCGAGTGGTTTGACATCAAATGCCCAAATCGGTCAAACCAAACCACGAAAAGGTGGTCTGGTCTGACCGGTTTGGGAGGTTTGGGCCTTTAATAGACTTTAAATATTAAACTTAAGAAACATATATAATTTAGAATTTTAGATTCAATATTCATTTTAACAAAAAATAATCCTAACAAATAAATATAATAATTAAATAGCTTTTGAGTCCAAAATCCAAGCAATCTAAAGTCCAAACAAATAAATATATAATACATATTATAAAACAAACAAATTAACAAAGTTACAACTCCACTGCGAGTATTGAATAACAAAATCCACGACTTAACAACTTCCAAATTTTTGAGTCTTGAGTTCTTAACAAAATCGATAGATTGATAGAGTTCTTGAGGGATTTCAAAATTTGGAGATCTTCAATGTCAAATGTGTCGATATTTTTAGGCACCGATTCATTTGGATTTGATTATATTAGACGTTAGGGTTTATGTTGGGCTTAGGAATATATTTGGGCCATAGCCCATAAGTTAAAAAAGTTGAGATTGCTAAACTAATATATATATATATATATATCTGTGTGTGTGTGTGTAATTGGCGATCGGTTTGGTCTAAACCGCCCAGAAAAAGTTCTAGACTACAGATCGGAACGAACCACCCGATTTTGCTATTTTTCAAACCAGACCAAACCGCCAGACCCCTTAAACTGCCAAGAAGGGTCCAATTTGACTTGTTTCGGCCGGTTTGAGCGGTCCAACGGTTTTTTTGAACACCCCTAGCCACGGCGACCACCTACTCATGAGCCTAGACAACCAACTGAGTGCTCAACTGAAAAGCTGAAATCTCTCTTATACGCTAGGCTGTTGTCCAAGGTAAATGAGGGAGGACAGGTGGAAGCTGATCTCATCGGCATGCTCAGGGCATACACCCAACTTGAGTATGTCATGAGAGCGGAGTTCCACGTATTTCACGACAAGGTCTAAGGCAGTTTCCAAGATCTTACTATGCAGGTGAATGACATGGCAAACACCATCAGATCATGTTTACAGACCTTCTCTGAGAGGATTCAGATCCTTGAGGACACATGCAAGAGTCAAGCAGGTGGGTCAAAAAGACGACAAGATGACGGGTATGACGACCCCGATTACCATGAGAGGGAGAAAGAACAAAGAACCACCAGCCATGACATCCCCCGACAAATCCAAAGACCAAGTCCCAGTGCAGAACAGTTACAACAACAACAGGGTCAAGGTCATTCTCAGCAATCTGCCGAGGTGGAACCAGAGCTAATGGTTGAAAAGTCAGCAGATACGAATATCAAAGTGCTCAAATGTCTACTATTGTTGCTGAGGTCCCATGCCTAATTATCGACATTGAATCCGACGAAGAAGGGCCTCGGCCTCAGTAAATCAAGGAAGAGATAGACAACTTCTTCACGTTCGTTGATGACGAGATACTCGACAAAGGGGATTTTGATCAATGCCTTAACAGATTCATCTCAAAGAGATCGGTCGATTCCCCAACCTCCAACGAGTCAGAGAACTGCAGGCCCGAGTACTCCAGCTACATCACATGTAGAGAGGTGGGAGAGAACGAGAATCAGAGTTCCATTCTTTGAAGATACAGAGATCAAAGTTTTTGTAAGAAGAATTATGGAATTGGATATGGTTCGAGTTATTCGGATCGCTCACCTCGACATCTTGCAGGTCATCGAGTATATGCACATGTTTAAGGCGAAGGCTCAACTGCTCGAGATGGTCAGTTCAAGGCATAAGATTGTGTGGATTAAGAACATCTACACCGACAGACTCGTGAATGTGTATTTCCCAGTCTTCACTGTAATCAAAACTGACGGCAAGGAATGGAAGTTCACAAAAGTTGACTTCAGGCATTTATCTTTTGAAGACTTCGAGACAATGTACCTGGACATTCGCCAGTGGACTATCAAACCAGAAAACGTGCAGATAGCTCTAGAAGTTATCAAGCGCTTCATGCTCCGTCAGATAATGCTTGGCTATGTATCAGACTTACAGTTGGGCATCGAGAGCAATCAACCAAAGATAAACCTGTTGAAGCCAAAGTAGAGTCAGGAAGACATAGAGTCCTTGCCCTTGTTCCTATTAATAGAGCAGCCTGAGTTTGGTATTGTGTACTCCAACAACATCGGAGAAAAGAATTTCATGCGATTCAACGAGCTACCATCCCACTCTGCAAAGATAATCAAATTGAAGTTGTCAAACAAGCTGGAGCTGGAAAGAAAAGGACTTGACAAGGTCAACCCACATGACAAGAACATGATGTTGAATGCTTTGGACATGATTGACAAGAAGTTGGAGTACCGAAGAATAATGCACAAATTCGAAGTATATTTTGGCCACTATCCGAGAAGAACAAAATTTGTCTGAAGCGACTTTATTACAAAAGGGGGAGAATGTTAGGTTTATATTTTGTTTGTAATAAAGTAGAGTGATCAAATTTGTAAATACCTTCAAGGTATATATAGAGATCCCTAGTTTCTAGAGTAGGTCAACTCATTATTGTATTATCATCTTATTATTGAGAAGCAGTCGCAAAAAGCAAACCCAATATTTTATATTCGATGATTTGAATCAATAGACAAGCCGACTGATTTGCTATTGCATTGTATTAATATTATATCATTGTTTCTTGTAATAACTGATAACCAACACCTTCAAATATAGGATATGCGTAATCTTGTGATTCTCTTTCCAAATCTATGGCCAATTAACCATATTAACTTTGAATTTATGAGTTGATTTGCAATTCAAAACCACATAGAACCATAAAAATAAAATTCAGAGGTACAATTAGTAGAACGAAGTAGGAAGCATGATTAAGGTTTCGAGTTCTAAGCTTTAAATCGAGATGTATCGTGTGAGTACACAACTAGTTAGGTCAAAAGCATGTATTGAGTTCACATTATTGGTTACGTGTATTACCGAATAAAGATGAGAAATACCTAATGTTTCAAAACTAGATTATTCAATATTTTCTTATGATTTTGCAAACACTCCTTCACACCCTAGGAATTTTCATAGAAACAACCGGTCCACTTTTTAAGGTAGAGGATAGGTGTACATCCATTCCAACCCCTAGACCCTACTTCCAAGTGAGAAATAATAGGTGGGTTTGGTTTTGGTGATATAGTTATAGTCGTTTTAACACTTTGGAAAAAATTGCAGGGAGAAGTTGGAAGGATAAGTTTCTATTCATGAGTCATATTGTGTACGAAAAGTAATAAGATTCTGGTCGAATAGAAAATTCTTGTTTCATCACTAATGGTGTTCATAGAAAGATAAGTTGACCAAGTTTTACATATGTAGTTTAGATAGAAGTTGTTTGAAGAGCAGCTAGAGTTGCATAAACTCCACCACTTAGGTTCAGAAGCTCATCATGCCTGCCCTTCTCAGCAATCACACCATTCTTCATAACTGCAATTATATCAGCCCCTTTAATGGTGGATAATTTATGAGCTACCACAATGGTTGTCCTTCCAATCATCACTGTATCTAATGCATCTTGAACTATGTGCTCTGATTCTGCATCCAAGGCACTTGTGGCTTCATCTAGCAAAAGGATTTTCGGGTCTTTCAGTACCGCCCTTGCAATCGCTATACGTTGTTTTTGCCCACCAGACATTTGCTCACCTGAAACCACACGAAATCAAATGAAAAGTAAATCCCATGCAGATGTAGAGTAATGGAGGTGAGATGTATGGAGACCTTAGAGCATCAAAAGTGGAGGGTTTTTGAGAGCTTATTGAAAAGCTTTTCGGCCGTATCACATTTGTGAAAAATTTCACAAAAAAAACCAACTTTTTTCTTGTAACTGCATAAGCTTCCAATAAGTTATTTTGCTTGGCAACCATAAGCTTGTAGGTCCCTCTTTATCAGAAAAACCTCTCATGAAAAAGCATACCATCTTAGAAGCTCTTACCTCTACCCTAAGGGGTGGAAATGTTTTCATGAAGACCCCTAACTTGCAAAGCACATAAATAAAGAACAAGAGGGCAAGCTACCGGTGAGAGTGTGTGCAAACAATGGGTACTGCTTACCTCTTCCCCCGACAGTGGTGTCATAACCATGAGGCAACGCTGATATAAAATTGTGGGAGTTTGATGCTTTTGCGGCTTTGATTATTTCTTCCTCTGTTGCACCTCCTTGCTTTCCGTAAGCTATGTTAGCTCGGATCGTCTCATTGAATAGTATAGGCTCTTGGCTTACTAGACCAAGTTGTTGCCTTAGCCAACTTATTTTAAACTTTTGGATGTCCATGCCATCCAGGTAGATATGGCCCGAGCATGGGTTATAGAATCGTTCAAGTAGACCTATGATTGTCGACTTCCCACTTCCACTCTCTCCAACGAGAGCCACAGTCTACAAGAAACTTTGCAAGATTAGAAAACCAAACAGTTTGAGCCATAAGTGCTTAAGTTTAAGGACTTTAAGGTCATATTTGGCAGCCATAAACTAACTTATAATATAAATAAATTTTTAAGTTTAATGAAAAAACCCCTTTTGGTTAGCCATAAACTAGTCTTTTGAAAAACTACTTCAAGTAGCATTTCAATAAGCTTCACAAGTTTTTTCCACTTCTTTTTCTTCCAATTACACCCCTCATATATTTCCAATTAATTTATGAACATACTCTTTTATAGCATATTTCATTTATCATCTAGGTTATCAGTTAGTTTTCACCAAATGTGACTGGTAATCAGGTAACAACTATTTAGCAGCCAAAAACTAGTTTCTCAGCTACTTTACCACATATAACCCAAGTCCATTCTTTTTTAAAGGAGAACGAGGCCAAGTTTTTTTTATATGCATAAAGAATAGACCAAAAAACAAAAAGAAGACATGTAAGGTCTTTTGATCAATGGGATACCTTTCCAGATGGTATTGTCAAAGACAAATCCTTGAAAACTTGAATATATGGCCTTGTTGGATACTTGAAACTCACATGTTGAAGCTCAACATTACCCATTACCTGATCCAATGTTGTGCCACTTTCAATGCTCGAATCAATCTCGGGCTTACTGTCGAGAATCTCAAAAATGGAGATAATTGATTCCTGAGCTTTGTTCAAATCGGAAAACAGTGTGGCTGATTGAGATAAACCCGATGATAGTGTTGACAAAGAAAAGAAAACCTGCATTTATTTTAAGTCTAGATTAGAATTTGTAATTGTGGAAGTGAGTGAAAATATAATATACTAGATAGGGTATTTGTGGAAACAATTTCTTTACCCTCTGGGGTAGAGACAGAGTATGCGTGTATTCTACCCCCAACCGTTCGTTTGCTTTGGTTTTTAGTGAAAAATATAATAGGACAAATTTGAATTCTGAAGTAATTACCCTGAAAATTTCATTAAAGGTTATTCTTCCATGTTGCTGAAGAATGGATCCAATGTAGAAAAAGATTGAAGTTGAGGAGTAGAGTACGAAAGAACTGAGCCCGAAACCCGCACCATTTACAATCCCGCTTTTAACTGCTTGTTTTATTGGTTGCTCGCATTTCTTTTGGTACAGATTTATCACCTTCTCTTCAGCACCAAAGGAGGAAATGGTTCTAATGTTTCCAACGGCATCACTTGCAACTTGGCTGGCGTCTTCATACATCGCCTTGGCACCGGCACTGATGCTTTTGTAAAACTTGAGCTGAATATATCCTTGCAAGCTAAGCAAAGGCAACAAAACTAGTATTACAAGCGCAAGAATCCAGTTAGCGGTGAAAGCTATCACGAGGCCAGCTGCAATCATGGCTACATTTTGTACAACTAGTGCCAAAGCATCGCCAAGAATACTCCTCATCGTTGACGCATCTGTTGCTAGCCTTGCACCAACTGCACCGCTGTTTTATGCATGGAAAATTTCTTCAATGTCAAAAGAGAGACAAAAGAAACCTAAACAATTAAAAAGTCTAGACAATATGCTCTCGTGCACCCCCACCAGTCCTACAGGCATCATGGGGGAGAAAAATCAGAGTAAGTATGCAGGAAGCGGAGGTTCCCTAGTTTTAAATGAATAGACTTTCTTTATGGATGCTCACCATCCTACTACTGAGGCAGCACATGAGGGATTATATAGGAGAATAACCTTCTGACATATTTCTTTTTAAATGCACGACCGTCTACTCTCTTCAGACCAAAATAAATTTCCACATTTCTTTTTTAGTTTGTTTTAAAATAAGTATCCACTTTCAAAGTAAGTGGTTACTTTCCAATTCTACCTTTCATTTTGAAATGGAGAAATGCATTGCTCCTCGTATTATTAAGGGTATAATTGTCATTTACTTAATTAAAAAGTGTAATAATTACACATTTCTATAACTACATGCAATTTTCATTCTGAACATTTATTTTGGGACGTAAGGAGTAACATATTTAAGAATACCTCTACCTAACACAAGAAAAATGTCTCTTCCTAACACAAGAACACGTTTAAATTTGTTAGAAGGTCATGCAATTATAAAAAAATGTGTCAAAAGGTTATTATGTGAATAACCAACACGCAGGGACATACAACCTAAACAATCGATGTAATAACAGATCTTGTGTACTTAGGATTATTTAGGCCATTGATCTTAAATGAGATTTTAATTAACAACATGACTTTCTGAAAAGTTTTGTGGCATTCAGGTGTATTGAAGTGACATTGTATGGAAGTAGGGGTGTACAAAAAACTGTCAACCCGTGAAACCCGCCCAACCCAACCCAACCCGCTAACAATCCAATTAAACCTAACCCTCCAAACCGCTAACACGTCAATTAGGAGGGTTGAAATTTGGTTGGGCCTAGCACAACTCGCCCAACCCGCCACTAATATATAACTTTTATAAAATTATATATATATATATATGTGTGTGTGTGTGTGTGTATGTGTGTGTGTATATGTTTATTATGTATATATATTGGGAAGGGTTCAAACGAGAACACTTCATTTTACGAGAACGCGAGAACACCTTTATCACATGTGATACTATTATTTCATTACATATGATACACATGTGATACTAAATCAGAGACACGGGTAATTTTTTGCGCAATCTTGGTTGCAGGCCAAGTCGTCCTTACACCACTAAGCCCCCTCACATGTATTATCACATGTGATAAGGGTGTTGTTGATATAATACTATAATTCATCAAGACCATCACATGTGATGTTAAATCATAGACGCGGACAATCTTTGGCGCGGCCTGAGTCGTAGAACATGTCTTCCGCATATCACCAAGTCCCCTCATGCATATTATCACATGTGATAAGGGTGTTCTCGCGTTCTCGTAAAATGGAGGTGTGTTCTCGTTTGAACCTCCACCTATATATATATATATATATATATATTAATAATGTATAAATTTTATATGATTTTTATTGGTATTATGTTTGTATTTCATTTAGCTAAACATATAGATTACCAAAAGAGATTAACGATCAAAGAATGATGATAAATAATCTAAGTAATAAGAGAAAATTATTGAAATCTTTTTTGCAGTAACAACAAATTGATATGTCGGAGAATATGAATGATATTGATAGATATTTGATTGACGAATCCATCAATCTAAATAACCTGTCATTTTATGTTGTAATTTAGTGGGAAAAAATGCTTAGTGTAGCATTTTGCTACAACAACGTTAGATCTTATAGGATGCCTAAGATGTCTAAGTGTCCTAATATGATACTTTATAGGACGAAACAAGAAAAATGTCTTATCTAAAAGAGTTACAATATGTTTATTGGATGATTTTGGACGTCTTAACAAATTCTATGACGTTTTTAAAATAAAGTATCATATTAGCTATTTTATACGACACGACTTGAAAAATGTCATATGAACATAGACGTCCTATAAATACATGAGTTTACGGGACATTTCTCAAAATGTTTCTATAAAATAASTAATACGACATTTTATTTAAAAATCATTCAAAAACACTTATTGAAATGTCCAAAATCGTCCAAAAACGTTCTATAAAGCCTATTATAACCTTTTTAGATAGGACGCTTCATAGTATGGTCTATAAACTTAAGTTTTAAGAAATATTTCTTTAGTCAAATTTATTTAACTACTAACCCGCCAACCCAACCCAACCCAACTCATCTCAACCCGCAAGGGTTGAGTTGGGTTGAAATTTTTCCAAACCGCGGTAATTGGGTTGGGTTGTAAAAATGTTACAAACCGCTCAACCCAACCCACCTACACCCCTATATGCAAGTGGCATGCTAAAATCTGTCATAAGGTCATGGATTTAAAATAAAATTTTGAGAAGGTCATTCAACAGACGGACATGTGGTCGTACCTTGAATGTTCGGGTTTGTCAAACCAACTCATTTCCTGGTGGACAATCTTTCGGAATGACAATGAGCGGATTCTTTGAATCAGTTTACCTCCCGCAACTCCAAAAAAACAGTTCTGCAGCGGCACAAATAACAAGGAACAAAAGCCCAGACCGACGAACATCAGTGCCCAAAAGCTCGAACCTTTACGAAGCTTGTTTGGAGGCTCATAAAAGATCTTTATGGAGGATGACATTATCAACCCATGGATAGGGAAAAGCACACCGTGCGCAACTGCAGCAATAGATCCAAGGAACAAAACAAGCAGTTCAGGCTTGTTTAGATACGCTATCCGTTTGATAGGAATGTTTTTTACTCTCTTAGGTCCAGTCGTCTCCTCCTTACGTTCTCCTATGATTCCTGTTTCTTGCGTATTTATGGAACATATTACATCTCCGAAAGATGTACGATTGGCTGGAGATGTTTTAACTGAAGATCCATCGCATGAACTTTGTTCGATATCTTCTAGTTCTATGTCTACGACAACCTGTTGTTCTTCTTCTGCTTGATGATTTTTGCCCGATTGCATTTGGACAAGCTGAGCATAAGCCCCAGCAGGAACTTTTATCAACTCTTCATGATTACCTGATTAGACATCGCATTGCCGAGGTACTTGTTTTAATTAGTGTGCATGTGCTAATTCGAACATACGAGAACCAATACAACAAAATGGGTCTTCTAAGACGTACATGCATAGTAATAAAGTAGTACTCTATGGGACTATAAGTTTATAGAACCAGCTATCTAAAAGCGTTACAACAAGTTGTTAGGACGAAGTTAAGCCAAACTGAACAAGTTCTGGTAACCTAATAAGAGATTAAAAGGGAATTATACCAAGGGCGTTTCCAATGGGTAACACCAAACAAATGGCTAGAAGGACCATGTTAAGTACTTTTTTAGGACGGTTGGGTGTCTAGAAGGACCATTTTTCTTGTAGTGAACATACACTTAGAAGACAAATAAGGATCGGTAGGTTACCTTTTTCGAGCAGCTTACCAGCATGAACCACAGCTATAAGCTCAGCATTTCGAATGGTAGACAAACGATGTGCGATGACCACAGTCGTCCGAGAGGCCATGACTGTGTCGAGCGCATTTTGTACTAAACGCTCAGATTCAGCATCCAATGCACTTGTTGCTTCATCTAAAAGGAGGATTCTTGGGTTTTTCAGAATAGCTCTTGCTATTGCTATTCTCTGCTTTTGGCCACCAGATAGCTGAGTCCCACGCTCACCCACCATCGTATCAAGCCTCTGGAAGAACACAATTGATGAGATTATTTAACCATTGTACCCGTTATGAAAAGTAACCTAATGATCTCGTAACACTTCATGACATGAATACCCGTTTACAAAAGGGTAATATATTTGACATCCATGTCATAAACTATTACAACATCAACACGATACCAGTCAAAATGAATATAAAAATAAGAAATACCGAACTTTGTTCCATTGAATAGGGAATTTAGAAATTTTGTTATATTGCTCGAGGAAAAAAAATATTCTTTGTTAATTTAAATAGGAACTAAGGCATTTTGATGCATTCTACCCATTGTAAACCCAATAAAACTAGATTTGTTTAAGAATTTACATACTCGAGGTAGTTTGTTGATGAAATCCGAAGCACGGGCAAGGTGGATAGCCGCTTCAATCTCCTCATCGGTAGCATTTTCCTTTCCATACATTATGTTTTCCCTTATGGTAGTTGTAAACAACACAGGTTCCTGACTAACTAATGCCATTTTTGATCTTATCCATTTTAGTTGCATCTTTTTCAAGTTAACACCATCTATAAGCACTTCTCCGGTTTCAGGATCATAGAATCGTTCCAGCAAACTTATGACGGTTGACTTCCCGTTTCCGCTTTGACCTACTAAGGCTGCAGTCATACCACTTGGAATGTGCAGAGAAAAACCCGATAAGATCTGGATATGGGGGCGCGCAGGGTACCTAAAGTAGACATCTTTGAGCTCGATTTCACCTTTTATATCTTCCAGTATGATTCCATCTTCATCGTACGCATAAATTTTTGGTTTACGGTTGATAGTCTCAAACATAGTGTAAGCTGCAGCTCTCCCTTGTGCAAATGCAGATAGACATGGGGAAGTCTGGCCTAGTGAACTAGTACATTTTAAGGTGAGACAGAAATTAGAGAAGAGCCAAGAAATTAAAGATCAATATTTCAAACATCAAAATGTAACGGAGTTTCTTCAATCTTCTGTTTTTACCATTTTGACATGTAACCTACTGATCTTGTAACATTTGATGACATGGATGTCAAACATATTTTGAAACTTTATTACATCGATTGAGAAAAAAAGAATTATTTGTTACACTAAATAGTAAATAGGAACTAAAGTGAAATTTGTTCAAAATAGCATACAAAACTTAAAAGGTCATAATTACTTACAATGCCCCGAACATCATGGCCATTATGATGCTAATAACTTCTCCGCCATTGTAGCCTTTCTCCAAAACCAGTTTGGATCCATACCAAATAGCTAGCCCATGGCTACAAGAGGAAACTAGTAAAGATACAGCGGTTCCTAACCCTGACGCCAACCCTTGATGAGCAGTTGCAGAATAAGCAATTTCTAGCTTATCGTCATACTTTTTTATTGCTTGCTTCTCCCCATTGAAGGATGCAACCTGTAAAATTAATAAACCACAAGAAAGATGATGACAATTCAAGGAAAACGTCGTATCAAATCAAGGGATGCACTTGAAGGTAGCTTCTACCAAAGGGTCATCGGCCCAACGGTATCCAGATTATTAGTAGAGTCTCTCAGGAGGTCAAAGGTTCAAGCCTCATCAACATTGAGGAGTGTGTGTGAGTATTTGCTATATATTCAAAAAAGAAATCTTGATTATTTTCGTGCATGTACTTACAGTTCTAATGGCTCCAACTGTTTGTTCAACCACATTTCCAGCTTGTGCATAGGAGGCTTGTGCACGAACCGCCATTTCCGAGATGATAAAAGACATGCACCCTCCAGCAACAACTAGCACTGGTGCAGAAAAGCATACTACAAGTGCAAGCCGCCATCCTCGAATAAATGATACTAGGAAGCCTCCAACAAACGTTGTAACAAGTTGAATAAACTTTCCTACCTGTTTCATTTTCAAGATGATATATATATATATATATATATATATCATGAATCGGGTTCCATAAGATTTGGGATGAATCGAAAGAAGGGAAGTTTCATACATGAAAAAACACACCTTTTCACCAAGAGCTTCTCTGATGATAATAGGGTCACTAGACATTCTTTCTATGACTTCACCTGTACTAGTTTGGGTATCAAAGAACTCAACATCTTGTCCCAATAGTGCCTTCAAGTACAGTCCTCTTATGCGGATCGATTGTCTTTCTCCCGATATGATCCAACAAGATACCTCTGCACATGAGAACATATCCTTGAAGACTGAAGGTGTTCCAATCAGACATACAACAGAGTCTCCCCAATTATACATATACTCTTTTAGATGAGCAAGGGCATTAAGATGAGTTCAGACGAAAGATCTCGTGAGGATAGGAATTAAGATGAGAAGTGTAAAATGGGATTTGGACCCTTGGATCACTTTTAATCTTAAATCAACCCATGAATTGCGCTTTTGAAGAGAATTGATCGGGTGCTTCCCTTCAGTATTGATCTAGTGGAACTCTTCGATTAAGATTGATCCAAGAGTCTTACCCTTCTCACTATAACTTTCATTTTCACCGGAACCAAACCGATGATTTCAATGTTATAATGTCAATATACAGCTTGGATTAGCTGATTAACTAAAACTTCTTCATGTCCACCAATGGCGGAAACAAAAAACATAATGAAAAACAAGATGAAATGGTGAAAAAAAGGAACCAAATTGCACACCCATATATATATATATATATATATATATAAACGAAGATCATGTGAGAATAGGAGTACAGTGAGAAGCGTAAAAAAGAATCTAGACTCTTGATCACTTTTAATCTCATCCCTACCCACATAAATTATGATTGATTCAATGGTGGAGATCTCTATAGTCATAGGTTCATTTGAGAAGTAGTAAGTATTTGAGAAGTAGAGAAGCGATACTAGCTCTTCATTTGCTTAAGATTTGCGGCTTTAACTGTGAAGCACCGGATAATTTCTCGCATGATATGCAGAAGATAGAGGGGTAGTTTCGTAACTTTTACAAATAGGCGGAAAAACAAACACACATATGAACCCATGCGATTCACATATGAACTATATGTTCTTATGTGAACCCGTGCAATTCACATATGAACTTGTTTGAAAACTATTTGTAAAAGTTATGAAACTAACCCTCTATTTTGCGTTTGACCAGTCAAAGCCACAATCATTGACCGGTCAAAGTTGCAATCATTGACCGATCAAAGCTGCAATTATTGACCAATCTTGACTGTATGAAGGGATAGGATCACTTCTTTACTTTTCAAATGAACCTCTCTCTCTATGTGTATGTGTGTGTGTGTATGTATATATATATATATATATATATATATACTAAATGTGCTTTTATCTGATATTAAACAAAAGTTACAACTTTAAGGGGTTGTTTACTAAATGTTTATCGGATGAGCATAGTAAGGGCCGAGAATCTTATCCGATATGAGCCATGGCAACAACAGAGCTTCTAGCTCAGCAAGTTATGGAGAGGACTCTTACCTGGTTAGCACTTACCTGGTTAGCACTTACCTGGTTAAAGACGATTATAGACAATCCATTTTGATGGGTTGAGATGTTATCCGACAAGGTAGGTGAGAGTTGTTTCTCTTGCTGGTAAATGCTTACTAGGTAAGCATTTGGCCCTTTAATTACCTTTTAGAAAAAGTAAATTACACTTTTGGTCCTTGTGGTTGTCACTCATCATCAAGTCTAGTCTGTACTTTAAACTAATTACATTTTTAATCGTTATGGTTGCCACTTTGTTTCGCTTTTGATCCTTGTGGCTAACAGCGTTAACAAGACCCGTAAACTTCAAAACATTTTGCTATTTTTTCATTTATTTAATTTTATATTCGAAAATTAATTTCATTTCATACGTTCTATAAACTTAATTCAATGGTAGTTATATCAACAATCAATGATGTTTAAAAGATCAATATACAAAATAGATGTTGTGTTCAAGAGGTATTTTTGATACATAAAATGTCTATATAATTAAGATGATTTTCATATAGTATTAAGGAAATTACGTATGCGTATATGTGAATGTGATGATAGTTGATAAAATTGACTTACGAAAAAAAGAGGCAATGCCGATGCCTATAGCCAAATACAAGTAAACGATGCACACCTGAAAAACAGAGAATGTGATGTAAGTTACATATAGTTATTAAAATTGATATAAAAAATTATATATATATATATATATATATATATAAGTTTAATTATTTAAGAAACTCCGATGATAATAGATCTTAACCATTTCCAAGATTATAAGTTTTTTTTAATTTATATATATAAAAAAATTATGGCTAATTTAAATTTATTTTAAAATTTTTATATATTAAAATATTAGTCTATGCCATTAAATCACTAACTCACTTCTTATTTTAAAAAGTTACTTTTTCTTTTTAAATAATAATTCAATTATCTATTTTATTTAAAATATAATAAAAAAAAAACCCGATTTTTTAATGAATTTTAAATAAAAAATAGCTAGCTTGATGAATTTCCTTTGAGAAATCTCTCTAATTTATTTTGGAGAATTGTGAAATAATGGTTATTTTTTTACCTTTTTTCCGAGGAGTGAGGCGTGTTAAACCAAAATTTTATTTCAAAAATTACTAGTGTTTGATACCATGTATTGTGTGTCGAACAAAACTCAATTTAAGAAAAAATGTAAAGTCTCGACTCAAACGGAAGTGCAATGTGTCTGAAAATTCTGGATTTTATTTATAGTTATAACATCTGATCCAATACCGTAAATCACGATTTGGAGAATACTAACATCAGATGAAATCATGTCACTAAGTCAACACTTTCGTTCTATATATAAGTGATATATTAGATACTTAAACTATATTTGTTATTATAAATACTATAATAATCACAACTCTTGTTAAGAAAAAAAAAATGTATCATTTACATTCGTTTTGCATGAAAATTTTACCAATTGGTTGGTTTTGATTTCAACCTTTGTTATAGATTTCAAAGCTTCATTACGCATTTATATATCCATCATATTCTTCCAAACTATTATTTTTCTACCAATATGAGATGATGAAAGTCAACTTTATTTCACATTTGAGGAATAATTTAAACCTCATGTTGTCAAGTCATCATCATTGGTTTCACTTTTATATTTGCACTATAATTTTTACATTTGGTTGGTTTTGATTTCAACCATGGTTATAAATTTCAAAGAGGGTCATCCAAAATAAGACAACTCTATGATGCAAACTCTATGATTTGATACAAAAGCATCCAATACACCTTTCTTATATACTTCTTTTTGTTCAAATCTTTCAACTCTTCATCAATATGGGACAACTAAAACTCAACCATAATTTATCATTTGAGAATATTAATTCCCATCGTGCCACTGCCACCTTAATACCCAAGGTTTTCTTATATATATATATATATATAGATAAATATTTTTATCATTTGGCTGGTTTTGATTCCAACAATGTATATATATATATATATATATAAAGATAAATATTTTTATCATTTGGTTGGTTTTTATTCCAACAATGGTTATAGATTTCAAAGAGGGTAATCCAAGATAAGACAACCCTATAAGAAAAATCCCATGAATTGACACAAAGACACCATCCATTTTTTTATACAGTTCATTTTGTTCAAATCTTTTAACTCTTTATCAATGTGGAACAACCAAAACTCAACCACAATTCATCATTTGAGAACACTCAATTCTCATGGTGTCATCTCAATATCCCAACGTTTTACTTTTGTATATATAATATAAAGATAAAGATATAAAGTTAGTTTGGTTTTGATTTCAATCATGGTTAAAGGTTTCAAAGCATCCATCATGCTTTTATACATCCATCATCTTTTTCTAAATCTTTCCACCAATATGAGATGATGAAAATAAACTTTAATCAAAATTTGAAGAACACTCAAACATCATGTTGTCAAATTATCATTCTTGGTTTCACTTTTAGTTTTAAACTATGATTTTTACCATTTGGTTGGTTTTTATTTCAACAATGATTATATACTTTAAAAAGGGTCATCCAAAATAAGACAATCTTATGAGGAAAACCTCATGATTTGACACAAAGATATCATCCATTTTTTTATATACTTCACTTTATTTAAATCTTTTAACTTTTCACAAATATGGGACAACTAAAACTTAACCACAATTCACCATTTGACAATACTCAATTATCATGTTATCACCTCAATATCCCTAGGTTTTACTTATATATATATAGAGGTTGGTTATTATACAACCCTTGACATTTGTGCAACCAATACAACTCAATCTCAACTGTCCATTTCATTTGATTAATATGTGATTTATAGAAGTTTTGATTGTTTCCTAATATAAAGTATTAATCATAATTAATGAACCATATTCATATTCCATAAATATTCAAATCATAATAAATGAACTCTCATAATTTCCATAAATATCTCAATTTATTAGGTTGCATTAGTTGTAAAAATACGACGGGTTGTATTTGAAACAAACTATATATATATATATATATATATATATAAGATAAAGATTATTTTATAGAAAGTTTATTTAATATTAAATGTATTAAATATTTTAATAATATAATTATCATTAAGATGTTTAAATTAGGAAAAGTATAAAGAATGTATTTTTTTTTTTGTAAATTGACTTTTCTTTTCTATTTTAAAAAATTATAAAGAAATTGTTAGATATCTCAACGCATATTCTAAAAAATAGTATATAACTTGATCATAGTTCAAATTCCATATCGTTAAGGTTTTAAATGGTATGGCATGACGATAAAATCAAGTCTTAAATCTTAGAAGCCATGATGAGGTTATTGTCAGCACAAGAAATAGAGGTTTTAAGTCGTTGCCATAGGTCAATTTATCTTTAGAAACGGTTCATAAATATGACATGTCGTCACAATAACTTGTTGTTGAAACATGTCGTTGATAAATGTGGGTCACTGAAACTCACTTTTCTAGTATGTTTTCCATTAAGCCGATAATGTATATATATACACATTAAAGTTTGTATGTATGTGTATTTTCCACTATGACTCAATAATTTTAATTTATATTAAAAAAGTAACGTATTTCAAAACTTTAAAACTAATCAAAAGATTATAATCCAAGCGGTCGAAGATGGTCAAGACTTTATTTTATTAAAAAATATAATATAATTTCAAAAAAGATTTAAAGCGTATAATTTAATGTAACATGACAAAACAGTAACATCCAGGAGTATTACCTTTGATATGTTATCAGTAACATTTGAGCTGTCGGAAGTTGCCAACGAGTTTATTAGTTGTCCAAATATAACAGTCATAAGAGGTTGCGCCATCCCGAACCCAATGGCACCTAGCGTCCCGATCATCATTAACATCACGTCATATCGATCAGCAAATGAAAAAAGTTTGAAAAAATGAACTTTCTTATTTCCGTCATTCATCCCTTCTAAGGATTTCCCTTGTCGTTTGACGATCATATTTTCTACGTGCTTTTGTTCGTGTGTAGACAAGAAAAAGAGAGCAATACAAAAGGTTTAGAGCATTTCCAATACTTGAGAAATGCAAAAATAAACACTTTTTTATAGAACAATAAAGGGGTGTGTGTGTGTGTGTTTTAATTTTAAAACAATATATTTATGAAAAAACAAAAAAGCGAAGAACAGCTTTTGGTCAAAAAAGAATTACTTTTTCAATTATTTAATCAAATAAAATATTAATTATATAATTAAACAAAATAATCTGTACATATTATATTTTCTATATCCAGTTTTAATTAAAATATCTGACATAAGTATTCAATTTTAACTAAAANAACAAAAAAGCGAAGAACAGCTTTTGGTCAAAAAAGAATTACTTTTTCAATTATTTAATCAAATAAAATATTAATTATATAATTAAACAAAATAAAATATATATATATATATATATATATATATTATATTATAAAACATTTGATAAAAACTTTTAAATATCATTATTTATGCATGAAATATTGTTTATTAATGTATGTTACTTAAAATTTAAGATTACAAGTAAATTGTACGTAAGTACAACTTATTAAAGCTCCATTTTTAAATTCGTATAACTAACTGCAGATTAACATAATCAAATACAAGATAAACATCTCATTTTAAATATAAAATCTAAAATATAATCAGGATAATCATTAAGTTCTAACAGAATCATTATTTTTATAAAAATTATATTGTTAAGTAAAAAATAAATTACTTCGCTATTATACCTAAATTAAATTATGATAAAAAAAATTAATTTAAAAGAAATTGTACAAAAAATATCCATGTATTTTTTCGAATTTTTATGATATTTTCAAATTTATTTTTATTGAAAAGTAAAAACATTGTCTTTCTCAAAACCACATAAATCGTATTAGATCAACAGAGACAAAAGATAAAATGGGAACATTAAAATGAAGATGTATCTCACTGCATTGCGCGAGTACCTTTCTAATATATATATATATATATATATATATATATATATGGGGATAATCAAATGAGAACTAATTAGTTTGTGATAACTGTGAGTTCCAATATCAACCACAAATCAATAGATAAATTAGTAAGTTTATAATTTTGGTAATTTTGAATTAAAATTTTAATGCAACAACATTTTAGTTATTTTAAAACTCTCCTCTCTCCGTCCCCCGTCCTCCGGCCACCGTCCTTCGGTGATACCACAATGGTATCATAATGTATCATATATGTAATTGGGTATCACACTGAGATCGTTTATGTGGTCGACTGCAGATGTAACACAGTGGTATCACAATGTATCTTATATATGTTTGGGTATTACACTGTGTCTTTTGTTTAACAGAGTCAATATTTTTAGGTATCATCGAAGGACGATGGTCGGAGGACGAAGAGAGAAGAGATGAGATAAGAAAGAAAATACCTAAAATGTCCTTGCATTAAAATTTTAATTCAAAATTAACAAAATTATAAATTTCCTAATTTATCTATTGATTTGTGCTTGACATTGGATCTCACGGTTACCACAAACTAGTTAGTTCTTTCTTTAATGGACCCATATATATATATATATATATATATATATATGTGTGTGTGTGTGTGTGTGTGTGTGTGTGAGCGTGTGTCATAATCATATGACAACCTTATTATTGTGAAAACTATAGGATCTAATTATCTGTACTACATTAATAAGCATTTAGACCAAAAGTCTTAAAGCATAAAGTACTATCAATTTATGCAAGATATTCAAAAATGTCTTAAGTACCAACTATTATGCATAATGTACAAATGATTAAAACATACCATTTATTTGGTTAAAGTTTCAGATTTAAGTAAGTCATATTTACATGAAAAAGATATGTTTGGTCTTCCCAAAGTTAATTGACACTTTCTTTGTTTCATATTTGAACCCAAATTCAAATTCAAAATTCTTATTTCTCTTGAAGTAAACTGAAATTTGAAGCGACAATATCAGAAAGAGTTTCAGATCTTCCATGTACCCCATCCCAACCCTTCAATTTTATATTGTGTTTAGAAACTCAACATGTATACAATTATTTTTCCAATCAATCTTGCTAATACACCATATTAACCTTCAACTTTATATATTAGTTGACTTGTAAAATAAACACACAAACTCATGATTCAAGGCTAAACTAATGTTACAGAATTGTGATTCACCCGTGTTGTATCGTGCGGGTACACTACTAGTATCAATTAATGTTTTTTGATCCTACTGTTATAAGAATACCAGAAGGGTACTCGTGCAATGCATCGAGACACATCTTGATTTCAATGTTTAGTTTTATTCATTATTTATGTCGATATAATACGTTTTTATGTGTTTTTGAGAAAACGATATCAGTATCAAATTAATCTTTTTAAAAGTTCTTATGTCTTGGTGTAATTTCCTTAATTAAAATTTTTAATTATAATTTATGTTTGGTTTAATAATATAATATTTTAAAAAGATAATAACTAAATATTTTGTTAAAACTCTATGATTATTCTAATTATATTTTAGATTTTTTATATTTAAAATGAGATGTTTATCCAATATTTGATTATGTTTATCTGCAGTTAGTTACACGAATTTAAATATGAAGCTTTAATAAGTTGTACGTATGCACAATTTACTTGTAATCTTAAATTTTAAGTAATATGCATCAATAAACAGTACTTCGTGCATAAAAAATGGTTTTTAAGAGTTTTTGGCAAATGTTTTATAATATAGTATAGATATTTACTTAGAATCTCTTTCAATCCAATCTCAATTAAAATATTACTTTCTCTTTCATCCACTTATATAATTTTTAACTCCAACCCAATCTAACCTCTTTTTTCATTTAACCGTGATCCAATCCAATCTAAAATATAATTTTATAAAAAACATATATTTTATTTTTTATCATATATAATTATTATTATTTAATTTTAAATATAAAAAATAAATTAAATGGATTATTGTATATTTTAAAACGTAATTATAATTATAAAAGCTTATTATACAATTGAAATTAAATAAAACAAGTCATAAAAGTAAGTATGAAAAATAGATCAACAGTGTGCTCTATCTATAAGGAATTGAAAATTATGAATTTTAGTATATTTTTTAGTCTTTAATCTTTTTGTTAAAGTCACTTTTTAATTAAATAATTTAAAAAAATTAAATCAACTAATAAACAAATGACACATGTCAATTTCGTTTAGTAAAAAATGCTTCAACCCTGGATTGTTGAGTAAGGAGGAGTGATAACCTATTTTTTTTTTTATTTTTTCCTTTTTTTTCTCTAAAACTCTTTTTGTCCCGTTCAGAATTTGATTGTTCAGAATCTGATTTTTCAGATGGACAAATCTGATTATTCAGATTGTCACTAGAAATGGTCTAACATACATACTTAAAATAATAGCCATTGAATAAATAACAAGTAAACTAACAAATCTACAACCCCCACTCTACTTTTTACTCCCCACGGTTTACCAATTTTTTTAAAAATTCCTTAATTACCTTTGACCATATCTTTGAACAAAAAAGATGTTATTTAATTACAATATCTTTTTTTAAATCAAAATCAGATCGGATTTTCGGGATATGGTTGAGGATGAAAACAAACGGTCGAGGCATCAAGGGGGAGGGAATATTTCGTGTAAAGAAACATGAAATGCATGGATGCAATCATGAACGTGTAAAGATTATCGAAAGTGATAAATGATCACAATGCAAATCACATTTCTTGAAATTAACGTGGTAAATAATCACGATATGAATCACACCATTCGACATCAATTTGGTAATGATTACAATGTAAATCATGCATGTCAATATTACAATGGTAATGCTTCACAATGTGAACCATACCTTCCAATTTGTTATTATTGATATCATTTTATTTAAGTTGGTGCAGGGTTGACACTAAATCTCATGGTTCTTAGAAAATATCAATTTTTTCCAGTGATTAGCCACTATACATGCACATATACAGGGATTGGTTTAAATAAATAAAAATTGAATATCATGATAAGGTAAGAATGAAAGGTTAATATGTAACTCATTGAAAAAATACATTTGAAGATGCATATGTAAATACACACACACACACATATATATATATATATATATATATATATATATAATGGTTGTGTAACCTCGCAATGCGGGGTGAGATGTAAAACTTTCTTGTTACAGAGGGCAATGCTATGAAATCAAACTTGGAGAAGAAAATCAATTTATTGCAAGAATTTGTCAATGTTTTCAATTTAATCATCTTGCTCATAAATGTTTTATAGGAATAAATTGTCATTTCGTTCCTCCACAGAGAACTATTTATTCTAAGTCACAAGATATGAATTTTTTTTACTATCTTTCTTTAATTACAAAATCAAGATTAATTTATATCTGTATAATATTTCTATATTTAGATTTATAGCTATTAGATTGCGGTTTAATGTACAAAAAATTTTCATTTCGTTGCATCCATGGTCTTTTTCCGACAACCATATCTAACAAAATATTAGAAGAAAAACGATTTTAGAAGTCAAATTTACATCCAAAAAGTTCCCATTCCTTTGATCCATGATAACGGTTCATTATTAAATGAAAGACTTTTGTCTATGAATTTTTTTTGAGAATTTGTCGTTAAAGAGTTATTCATCACAAAAGTTGGTGGGTAAATTGTTCGTGGTTAATTCAAATCAGTGAGATTCTCTAGATGATCTATTGATATTTTCTCCAAAAAAAAAATCAGATTGTACCAAGCCATTGATATTTTCTGGGTGATCTAGTAATCATTTTCCCAGAGTAATTTTTGTGGGTAAAAGTCATTTGCTTTGTAATTACATAAAATACCCAAGTAAATCAAGACCTTAAATTTTTTTATTAATTAAACATAAAACATACATCAATCCGTAATATCCTATCTATAAATGTAGAGAAC